CCCTGTATAATTTTTAGACTACTATTTATATTATTGCATGATTTCAGTGTTTAAATTGTAATGTCACTTTTATTAAGGGTAAAGTATTTTGCTTGTAACCTGGCTTTACAATACCTACATCCTAATTAACCAAGTTGGTAAACTATACCGGGTGCGTCTCAAAAGTGACTCACCCCTATAACTTTTTTATTTTTTTAGATAAAAAAATGAGATTTGGTATGTTAGTATATGACATAAATTAGGATTGATTAACGTATTCAATTTTCGGCCACTTCCTGTTTCACCGGAAATGACTACAACTTTTGATTTTTAAATGGCACTTTTGATTTTTTAAAAATACCCAAATCGCATTTTTAATCATATCTAATTTTTTTCAAATGGAACGAGGGTGGTTCATTAGCATATTTGGAAAAAGCATTTTTTTCGAATAAATTGATACCACACACTAGGTATTTCAAGTCAAATTGTCGTTATGAACCGCAGGTTACAATTTCTAATAAACCATATACGAAAATATCAAAAGTTGACATATGATATGTCATTGTATTCACAGTGTCATTTTCTATCGAATAAAGTAAAAAAATACCGAGGGTGCCATTTAAAAATCAAAAGTTGTAGTCATTGAACAATTGAATATGTCAACCAATCCTAATTTATGTCATATACTAACATACCAAATCTCGTTGTTTTATCTGAAAAAATAAAAAAGTTATAGGGTGAACCACTTTTTAAACACACCCGGTATACAGTTAGGATCAGTTCCTCCTAATGTTAAAATACGAAACACACAGTTTGATAAAATAGCAGAAATGTCAAATATTGAAATTTTTACAATATCCTTTTTTGAAATTTCACGCATGATTCTGCTTTTTCAATAGAGTTTAATTCCAAAAAAAAAATTGTAAATGAGTTGTTCAGACAGGTCAATTTTTTGCAAAAAAGAGATTGAATAGCATTTAATTGATGAACGAACCGGAAAAGCAGCTTTTTTGAGGTGGCTAATTTTTGATAATAATGCCAGATATTTTAAGGAACCGTATACCATAATAAGAAAAATTTCAGCACTTGTGTTTAAAGTGATTTATTTACTTTTAAAACAAAACTGATGCGATACTGTAAAAACACAAAAAGTTTAATTTTGTATGCTCGAATTATTATCACAACCAAAGTTTCTTTTTCTAGATCAGTTTCCATTAAGCAAGAATTCCCGATAATTTTGCTTATCCGTTAGTAGAATAAATTTACCAGACAGAAAAACCCGAAAAGCTCCAGTGGTTCTCAAAATTTAAGCAAAACATATGTTTTTTTTTTGAAAATCTTTAAAGTAAAATAACTCGGTTATTTAAAAGTTATTTGAAAAACGGTAAAGAGGAAATATGTTTCTTTTATTGAGATCTACCAGTCCTGAAAATATTTGCACTTATTCAAGACTCGCCCTGTATAATATCGAGAAAATCAACAATTGCTAACTTACATATGAAATACGAGTAGCTCTAAAACTGTTAAAAACATAGTTTAAATAGTGCATTTATAAGGCTCACTAGCTCTATCTATAAAGAGTTAAATAATCATTTAAATCAATGCATGAACGATTCAAAGTGTAACGCGAACGTAGTCGCGGGAAAAAGTTAGTAGTTATTAATAAAACGCGTAAATCAATAAGAAGTTGAATATTGTATTAATTAATATTTTAATTTCATTTGAATCTATTAATGTTTTTCAAAGTCTTTATACTGTTAAATTTATCATTGAATTATACTAATATATAACACCATACATATAATAAATTAAATCAATGCTTACTGCTTGCTCATTGTTCTTTTTCAAATAAATTCCTAATATCGCCTAAAACCCTTCACTGTTACTCTATTGGTGTTAAAAAATATCAAATGTTTCTATATTTTTTTCATATAGTATGGGATGGTTTGCTATCACAACTAAACTAAAAACTTCTATCTAAAATAACTTTTAAATGTATTGATTGTTAAATTGATAGATGTTAAATTGGCAATAACAGAGGACTATCCTATTGTGTTGTAACCTATATTGTAAAATATATATTGTTAATTCAATTTCACTAAATGTATTTGTATAAAAATAACCTTTGCAAAATTCAATGGGCAGATAAACTCTTTTTAATGTAAAAATATATACATTTTTCTAAAACAAATAAAATTATTTATTTATTTATTTCAATATTCACGTTAATATAATTTGCATTAAAAGAAAAAAAAACTAGACAGAAAAAGCTCAGCTGTGTCGGTATATCGGTTCTCCGCTAGGATGCTGGATGTTGGATTGCTGGAGATTCCGCGGGATCAAAGTTGCGGGGTTTACAGTGCGGGATCTGCGGGATCGATACATTACTACTGGGTAGCCGAATCGATCTCAAACAAGATCAAACCACTTCGTTCCGGGTCGATGCGTCGACGCTCGGAACCCGGGGATTCCCCTTATAGATTGGCCATTAAAAATAAGTGAAACAAACATTGTTAGAGTTCTTTCTGACGTATGTGAAGTGAAGAATAGCGTTTAACTAGTACTTGTGGACAATTTCGTCAAATAAACCGCCGGCGCCGGACATAATTATCGGGACAAGTAAAATTTTAGGGTAAATTTAATGCGGTTTGGACCTGGTTTTAGATGCATCTATTGTGATTAAGATGCTATGTGGTTTTCGAAAATATATTTAGTGAATTCTCGTATACAGGGTGTTTTATAAGAGTGTGAAAATTTGGTCAAGAATCTTTTTTACTGCAAATTTACAATTATTAAAAAATCGAAATTTTTACCAAGTACGACTAATCTGTATTGAAATTAGAAAAAGCAGTTCGATCGGTTTTTTTTTGTTTTAAGGAAAATACGACGTTTTATCGAAAAATATCTATTTTTAGTCATACGTATGGTCCTAAATGGTACAAAAAGCTTTGTACATTCTGCATATGCCAAAACATTATTCATATAGAGTGTATCTAAAAGCAGATAACTAACACAAGTTAAAAAAACTTCAACATCAGAATAATATTTTTATTTATAAAATAAGTAGATAAATTATAATAAAATTTAAGTTTATTTAATATTAAATACGAGTATACTTTTGAACATTCTGTATACATCGGTTCAAATTTCTGTACAGCTAGTTTAAGATACACGCTATATCAATATATTATGGGCCTATGCAAAATGTACAATGCCTTTTGTACCATTTAGGACCAAATGTATGACTATTGTTTACAGTGCCGCAATTTTGCGGATCCGCGGAATTGATTGCTTTAATCCCGCGGGTTTGCGGGATTGACATTTTGGTGCGGGATTGCATTCCCTAAGCGACATTAAGCAAACTGAACATTTGGATAGGTGACTTTCTCAAAACTACGCCAAGCTGTTGCCTGATAAGAGAAGTGCTGTTCCCCAACTCATGATACAGTCTCAGTGAGACAAAAGCCAGTATAAAAATAAATCTTATTTTTACGTGAAGAATCTCGCGACTAGAGATAGCACATGTTCTTTGAAACACTCTGTATTTACTATTTTATGTCAGATTGAATTTGTATGAGACATTACTTATTTTTTTTATCTAATTACATACAGAAACTATTGAAACATTGTTTAGAAAAAAAAACACTGCTTAGATTTCTATTTTATTGTAAGTAAGTCTTTTTACAATTTCCTAAAACTAGTTAGAATATCAATAGAGTGATACACTCTTTACTCTTTAATCTAAATCACTTGAACAACAAAGGTTGTTAAACACTATTAAAGGATTTATTAAACCATTAGATAAGTATTATTAAAAAGGATGTAAAATTTTACCTGAGTACACTTTATGGCACTATACCGGGTGGTGCATCGACGTTGGAAACAGGAAATCAATCAAATTTTGAACTGTTCTAGTACTAGCTCCCCTGTTGTTTTTACAGCGAAGTGTCGTAAATAGGTTTATTAAAGGTCTGCGTATGTTGAATACAAATATCAAATTTTAACAATTTTGGACAAGCCGTTTTTAACTAATTTGAGAAAAACTGCGTTTGATTTGAGAAAAACTACTTCTATTTTTAAATGAAAACTGAACAGGCAAGAATGCAGAACCAGGCAAATGTTCACATAGCTTAAATTGCAACTAGCTTAAATTGCAACCTATGCTTGAATGCAATTTGTTAATATGTTGTAGAAATATATCTCTTTCTTAAAAAATGACTATATATCTGTGTGGCGGATTCATCTCTCCAAAAAATCCTACAGGAGTATTTCGCCACTGCAAGAAAATTTACAAAATAAAATAGTTATTTTTTGTAAACACTTCTGGCGTTAATCCAAACGGAAACTACTTGTCAGAAGTTAAGTTTCCAGACATACAAATTTGCCTAATGAACAAAAAAATTGCTTAACGTTTCGGAAAGTTTATCTCTTTCCGTCGTCGGAAGCTAAAAATACAAAGAATAAAGAAAAAAACTATTTAAAATATTGAAAATTCAACTATTCGAAAACACTTTCGCTTTTTAAAACAGATACGTCTAGAAAAACCGTTGACGTTCTGTTAAAATGACATTATATCAAGTTAAACTTCAAAATTAACAATTACTACCTGATTACAATTACATAATAAGGTAAAACCAAAAAGCCCCAAACTTTCTGTATGATTATTTTTAATTTTTACATATGTTATGTTTATTTATGTTACGTTCTTTAAAATCAAAGAAGCGATTGCCATACATTACTAACATCTACAGATGCATGAGCAATACATTTATTTTTATTATATAGATTGTATTAAAAAAGCCTCTTTTATTTTTCTTTTAGAGGCTATCGCTTCTTTCATTAAGTATAATTTTGGCGTTATTAAAATTTGTTCTTGCCCTGTGTCCCATGAATGCTGACAAATCTTAGATTTGTGAAAATCTCCCTTTCGTAAATAATCTTTATATTTCACCAAAGTAAAATTTATCGTATTCACATGGTATTTTGTGTATTACATTTTTTTGTTTGTTGTTCTTTATTCATTGGTTTAGTCTGTGATAAAATAGATCTAAGTGTATTTTGTGTTTTGAAAGATGTTTGTATGTTGGCATTTACCTGGTTTTGCATTACCACCTGTTCAGTTTTGATTTAAAAATAGATACAGGATACAGTTTTTCTTAAATTAGTTAGAAACGGTTTGCACAAAATTGTTCAAATTTGGCATGTTTTCAGCATACTCAAACCTTTAGAAAAACCTATTTACCACTTCGCTGTAAAAGAGTGCCAATATTTTGACAGTTCAAAATTTGCATGGGATTTCCTGTTTCCAAAGCCGAAGCACCATCCGGCAATTTTTTTCTCTCTCAATTTTTTCCTTGATATTCCAAGTTTTCACAGGAATTCTTTTTATTGAGTTTTAAATTTTTCTCTCATTTGTTATTAGCAATTAGTATTAAAAATAGTAAATTGAAAAATATCTATCTAAAGATACCATCACGATCGGTATAAGCATTGTTTTATTTTTGATACATTAAGTCCTGTCCACACATAACGTTCAGTTTTGCTTGTGAGGTAAAACGGAAGACTTTTTAGTAAACTGACAACAGTTCTCAAGACGGTCGGCCATCTTAACCCCATCTATACATAACTCTTTGTCGTATTTGGTAACAATCATTAATAATGATCAAATATCTCCAAGAAATTTGTAAAATTACATTATTTTTTGAAACTATGCAAAACTATTAGATTTTTAATTTTCTATTGTAGGCAAAATGACAATTTTGTTGTAGAACTAAATGATCCCGTCAATTCTCTAGACAGAAGAATTAAAACCTTTCGTCTTAATTCAGTTCAAGTAAAACGTCCTTTTTTTTTTCGTCTACAGAAAATATTTACTTGAAACGTTTTGACTGAACAGGTAAGACTGACAGGTAAAACGTTATGTCTAGACAAGGCTTGACATTTCATTGTTGGATTTTCATATCAATTTAAGAAAGCAATGCTGCACTTTAAGTTTCAGGTACTGAGTACTCATTTTACATAAGTTTATAAAAATACAATAAGATATATGATTGACATTTACAGAACAAAATATCATTGTTAGTTACAAACTAAAAAAATCAGTTTTAGGTATTACTAAAATAATTTAAAGTGGGCTGCATGTTCCTTTAAAATAATTTTGTTAAACTTGAGGACTAGTACCACTTTCGCCCATATTTTTAGCTTCTTCTATTTGTTCAGGTGTGACGTACCCGGTACTTCTTCTGTTGGATAATCGGTTTCTCGATCTCCTTTTTCTCTGGGTTTCACTCTGATCACTGGAATCATGATTTTTATTAGCGATAATAGTATCAATATTCAAGGCGGATGATTTTTTGTAGATTGATTTAAACTGTGATTTACCTAAATAAACCTAAATAAATAATTTACAAAATTTTTACCTGTCTCTATGAGATTTAACTCTCATCACAACAGGCGGGTGTTCTGAAATGTTGAAATTCGTAGGCAATCCATATTGTTGCTGTTTCGCTCCTGGTATCGACTGCGTGTCATCTGGAAATCTGGAAGAAAATACAAAAAATGAAACAAATCAGTTCGGAGCCGCTAAGGTAAAAAAGGATGCTTTTTCCACCACTTTATATTCAGGACTAAGTATAAGGGATTCTGTATAAAATTTATTTTTTTACGTTTTTTTTAATCCAATAAGTGTTTGTCAATAAAAGTAAGTATATCTGCAAGAAAAAAAACATATTTGAAATTTTTAATCCTCAATAAATTTCAATAAAAAAAGGCTTGTAAATGAATATCTGTGCCTTTTATACCGAGTGCGTCTCAAAAGTGGCTCATTCCTATAACTTTTTTATTTTTCAGATAAAAAAAAGAGATTTGGTATGTTAGTATACGACATAAATTAGGATTGATTGACGTATTCAATTGTTTTCGGTCACTTCCTGTTTCACCGGAAAATTACTACAACTTTTGATTTTTAAATGACACCCTCGGTATTATTTTACTTTATTCGATAGAAAATAAGAATCTGAATAGAATGACATATCATATGTCAACTTTTGACATTTTCGCATATGGTTTATTTAAAATTATAACTTGCGGTTCGTAACGAAAATTTGACTCGAAATACCAAGTGTATGGTATCAAATTATTCGTAAAAAATGCGTTTTCCAAATATGCTAATGAACCATGCTCGCTCCATTTGAAAAAATTGAGATATGATTAAAAATACGATTTGAGCATTTTTTAACTGGCCAGGATACGTAACACGTAAAAAAACGATCAAATTTATTTTTCCAAGGCCCCTTGATTAAGAATTAGTGTTTTAACATAGCCATATGGCACTCTAGATTGAATTTTAAAATAAAAAAAAATATTAAGCGAGAATGTCAAAAGTTGACATATGATATGTCATTCTGTTCAGAATGACATTTTCTATCGAATAAAGTAAAAAAAATACCGAGGGTGTCATTTAAAAATCAAAAGTTATAGTCACCCAAGTGGCATAAATGTGCTTAAAATGGTTATATAGAGTGCTATATAACAATTCATGATAACTATGTATAGTCTGTCCAACGAGAAGATCCTTGACAGTGATAGATGTGTCTGTCATTTTAATTTCAAAGTAGTTTATTTTATTTTACAAAGAAATAAGTTGGTACAACTGGAACGCATAGCAGGAAATATTTAAAATTCGATTGACAAGATGACAAGTGATTACTTCAAAATATTATGAAAAAACTGTATAAAATTGAAAAAATGTAATCGAGTTATTTTATTTAATAAAAACGGTATGTGTTAATACAAAACAAACAAGAACAAGACACTACATACCAAAAAAATATAAAAAAGAACTATTATTTACTTACAAGCTTTATGAAACTACCCGCATTTATGATTATATTTATCAATATAACTTATGTACAAATACAAATTTGTAATATTCCACAGGAATAAATAAAACAACATAGGTAAATAAAACAAACTATTTTATTAATAATAACACCTACCAAATTTTATACCTTAAAGGTTGATTAATTAACTTTAATCTTAATTTTTTTAAACCAGTACCTTTTGACATTATTTTTCTGCAGTACTAAAATCCATTATTTACCTATCGTGTGATATCGATATTTTACAGCTACTCCAGTTTTTAGTATGTGTTTAGTTTGATCCTTCTACCATATACAAGATGCACTTATCTACGACGAAATGGTATACAAACTTTATCGATAGCAACTTCATTGGTGTATAAGACTTTCTGCCCTGGCAGCGAGTATTAACCATAAACTGTGCTCTGGGTCTACAGTTAATTTTCACTCGATTTTTCCTCCACTTGACTTCAAAAGACACAAAACACACGTAATAATACGAATCAAAATGCATCATATTCCAAAACGCAGGGTATTTAACAAAAGTTGACACAAAATTATAACCTAGAATTTGGCAAGACTTTGACAAGCGTCAAAAATGACAAAAATCTAAAGGCGAGTTCATACGCATCGGCGTCCGTTTGTCGTTCATCGTTCCGTCAAACCAATAAAATTGAAATACGATCTGTCATTTTTTAAATAAACCAATAAAACTGGTTAAAAACAACAAGACACGACGTATGACGGATTTATATTTAAACCCATCCATAGATAACTTAAAAATGATTAGAAACTTTTTTTAGTAAAATAAATAGATTGGTATGGGACGTCATCTGCTTTTCTTCTGTCATCGTCTGTCGAAATCTTACCTGAGAAAAAAAACAGAGTATAGTATTTTTTAAGTGCTTAATAAACCCTAATACGATAGTTATAAACACGCGCAAAATAGGCGCAGGTTTATAAAACAATATACTTATTTAGAAGTACGTTAAAAACTCTCCGATAACACTTACAAAATAATATTGAGTACATTATAAAATATTTATAAAACTGTTTTATAAAAGATTTATAAATATTTTAAAAATAACATATTTGTCTCAGTTAAAATATTTTTGTAGCATGTAGAATGTAGAATGTTTAGAAGGGGAGTTAATCACCGCGACCTTATAGATCTATTGTGTGTTCCCCTTTCTTGAGTTATAACGAGTTATAACTCATCATACAGTCTCAGGGCTTTAAGAAAAGCCAGTATCTGAGACGGCTCCACAGAGGCCAGCTCTCCATCCTCGACATCAGACGTGCCAAGGTTCATGGCACGAATGGTTGTCGTCTCGGCGCACTCAGTGATAAGGTGTTCTGGTGTTTCCCCATTTTCCCCACAAAATCTGCATTCGCCGTTGTTTCTCAGTTTCAGCCTACTGAGGTGTTCGTTGAGGAGAAAGTGTCCTGTTAGAAACCCCGTGACAATCCAAAGATTGTTTTTACTTAAATCAAGGAAAACCTTTGATTTTTCTCGGTCGTAAGTTCTGAGGAACTTTTTCGAGTGTCTTAGACCGTTGGAGGACACCCATTCTATATTACGGATGGAGTCTTCCAGATTCTTCAGTTCCGCTTTCAGTTGGTTCCCGTTAGGAAAACAGAACGGTTCTGGTCCAGTTAGTGGAGTGTTCGCTTCTTTTCTAGCTAGATCATTTGCTTTTTCATTGCCTTCTATCCCTTGGTGAGCAGGCACCCAAACTACACCGACTTTATTTTCTTTGCCTAATTTGTTAAGCTTCTCTAGGCATTCTTTGGCCAACTTCGAATTGATGGTTACTGAGTTGATCGCGTTAAGTGCTGCTTGACTATCGGATAGGATGGCAATTTCCTGTTTTCGATAGTTTCTATCTAAGATAAATTGTACGCATCTTTCGATAGCGTAAATTTCTGCCTGAAGGATACTGGGGTAGGTGCCCATTAGTTCGGAGTATTTAGTTTTCGGCCCAAATACTCCTATCCCTGTCCCTGCTTTGGTTTTGAAAGCATCAGTATACCAAGTGATGGTATGGTCTTTTATATGCTGAGTAAGCGTTTCTTTCTTCCAATTCTTTTTATTACTCAATACTACAGTGAGGTGTTTCTCAAAGTTGTAAATTATTGGTATGTCATCCACTGGGAGGTGGAGAAGTGGAATTTTATTTTTGAGGGTGTTCCAAGCCCCCGACCTGAAAATTCTCCCAGTACTGTTTCCGTCAATGACCATTCTAATCATTGTCGCATTGGCATAACTGCCGACGACGATGTGCAGTGGTGTTAGGTCTAGAATGACCTCCATTGCTGCTGTTGGACATGTTCTCATGCACCTGTGATGCAGATACATGCCAGTCTCTTTACTTTGCACAGGTTTTGCCTTGCTGTACGTTGCTCTAGTTTTGTATACCAAGCAACTGCTCCATAAGTAATCATGGGTCTTACTATCATGGTAATACAACCAGCGCAAAATGTTAGGGGCGCAGCCCCACCTATTTCCCCCCAGTCTTCTGCATATCAGAGAGTCTTTGTGGCTTTGCTAGTAATGTTCTTAATATGCCTGTTCCAGAGAAGTTTACTATCCAGGGTTATTCCCAGATATTTCACTTCCAGCGATGGCAGTATTTCCTTTCCATCTAGATACATTCTTTTCAAGTTTTTCAAACTTCGCTTTCTGGTGAATGGCACTACTGCTGTTTTATCTGAGTTAATACTCAGCCCGACAGTCCTGCACCATCTCTCAGCGATGCGGAGTCCTCTTTGGATAATATCACACAGGGTGCCTTCATGTTTCCCCCGTGCAATGATGACTATGTCATCTGCATACCATATGCAGTGTATTCCCGCTAGAGTTAATTCTTCCATTAGTTCATCCACTACCAAGCTCCACAGTAGGGGGGAGGTCACTCCACCTTGTGGAGTTCCTTGCGTTGTTTTAACAACTACAGTTTTGGTACAACTGCTGTTCGTGTTGAGAGCATTTCCCAAAACCAGCGAATTATCGTACTGTTCACCCCTCTTGTTTCAAGAGATCGCTTGACCACGTTGTGAGGTATATTGTCAAATGTACCTCACTGCAATGTCCAAGAAGGCACAAAGTGCTGTTTCTTTGCTATCCAGGCTTGCCTGTCTTAGCTCAGTTAACTGGTACAGAGTAGTTTCTGTGGATCTACCCGCTCTATATGCATGCTGACTATCGTGCAGTGGTTTAACCTGTAGATGATTTACTCTAATATGGTTGTCCACTACTTTCTCCATCGTTTTTAATATGAACGATGTGAGACTAATAGGCCTAAATGATTTGGGGTTAGCCCAGTCAGTTTTGCCTATTTTGGGTATGAAGATGACTTTAGCTCTTCTCCAGATGGTTGGTATATATCCCATCGCTAAGCTGCTTCTTTTGTAATGTTTAATAGATGGTTTTTGTAGCATACATCTGCATTTTTATTTTTTAGTTATCAAGAATAAAATTATAATATCGTGTATTTATAGTGACCAAGATAAAACTGATTTTAAAATTGCAAAGTACAAATATATTCTATTTAAATGACAGACATGGCTAATTTAAAGAAAGATGTAAATTGTGTAAAAAGTATATCGCCTAAAGCGCTCCAGGAGTCAAATTTTCCTGCGGAGAAAATTTTACTGATATTATATATCCATATTTGTGG